CCCCAACAAAAAGAAAAACACAATACGAATACTTTAGGTAAAGACTCGAAATACAGTAACTCATCCAAAAGTTACAAACTTTGCTAGGAAACAACTAAATTTCAGAGAAAGAAGAGCAAAATAACATAATAACTCCTCTTCTACACTCAATTCAAAAGCTCAAGAAAGGGAGTAGTAGCGAACTCAATAAAACACAAGCAGAAGAAAACACCTAGAATTTAGAATCTCACAATACTTTCTCTAGAACCAACTGAGAACTAAAAATCACCACACAGAGAAATTAAAGATTGATAGAAACATACATGGGTAAGAAGTAGCAGCAAAAGTTGAAGAATTAGAGGATGCATGAGAGGAGGGAGTAGTAGTAGGCGGGGTATTGAACAGTAGGGCCATCTCTTCCGCTTTGGAATTTCTTTTCTGAATAACCATTGGAGCAAAATGGGCTTTTGCTGGAATAAGAAGAAAAACGTTCCTCCCAGATAATCGCATGCAGTGATTACGACTTATAAGTCGCATTCACTTGTTTTACAGTTTACACCTACCATTATTTATAAGCAACGTTCAATAATTGCAATTTATAAGTCGCGTTCAACATTGAGAATTATAAGACACATTCAATGATTGGGGATTTATAAGTGGCAGTCTTAATTGTTAGGGGTCGTTGGTAGGATGTATAATAATAGTGCTGAATAATGTGTATTAGTAATGCAAGTATTAATTATGCAAATATTATTTCTTATCTATTGTTTGGTATGATATATTAAAATTATAATGCATTGCATAATTTTTTTTAAAAATAGTTGCTTACAAAAATGCCCTCCATATTCTCTAGTTTTAAAGGACTTTAAGGACAATTTTGTCTTTAACCATGCTAATGCATGCATTAAAGCCTTGCTATTACTAATGCCATCATTTTCTATGCATTACTTATGCATAGGATAATGTCAAGTATGATATATAACTAATACAAGTATTAGTTATACACAAGTTGAAAAAAGGTACCAAACAAGGTATTAGTAATGCATAGAGCTAATGCTTGCATTATTTTTTCTAATACCTCCTACCAAACGACTGCTTAGTGTTAACTCCAAATTATAACCCATCAAAAAGCAAAAAGACAAAGAGCACGTTTGGATTAGCTTGTTTTAAGTGCTTTTAAGCTAAAATAACTTTTAAGTTATTTTGTAATGTTTGGATAAAGTACAAAAGTGCTTTTAAACACTCGTTTAATGACAAAAAAAATCAAAAGCCAAAAATTAGAATTTCTAACTTATGGCTTAAAAGTTATTTTGGCTTAAAAGTCACTTAAAACAAACATATCCAAATGAGTTCTAACAAAGGTAACCCTAGATCAAGTTATCAAAAGACGTGCCCCCGAAGAACTGACCCAAGCAAGGACATTTCGGAAGTAGGTCGGTCAAGACGGCCACTTTCCCTTCGCTCCTTTCGACCTGATTTCCCACAAAAATCAATACAAAGAAGGTGGAAGTCACATTCACGAATCACGATTTATAAGTCTCAATGAGTAACTGTGGTTTATAATTCACATTGACTAATTGTGATTTATAAGTCGTATTGACTAAACGCAATTTATAAGAAGCATTCAACGCGTTTAGGAGTTCGCTCCAGCTAATTCAATTTATAAATTGATAAATGCTCTCATCGCCTCCCGACAATGCAACTTATAAACCATTCCCTTTCTAGATCCACATCAACCCAATAACCCGACCCTTCCTTCCTTCCATAGTTTATTTTATTTTATTTTAAAAAGCTCGGGTGTTGTAGAGTTCAACAACAACAACAACAAACAACGATCCAGTATAATCTCACAAGTGGGGTCTGGGAGGGTAATATGTACGCAGACCTTACCCCTACCCCGAAGGGTAGAGAGACTGTTTCCAGGAGACCCTCGGCTCAAAAAAAACAACATGAGCCGATATATTAGTACCATATAATTGGTAAATTGTAAGTTTAATAAATTGCATAGAGTAAATGCGATTGATGGTATGTATTACTAACGGGTTTATTCTTTCATCATGGTTGATGCTTAAGTTGTACAAATACGTTTTCATATTTTGGATATTCCCTTAAACAATACTAACATTGAAATTGTTGAGCTAAAATGTGTATATTCTGGAAAAAAAAGTTTCTAAAATCTAAAACTAAGCTACAAAAATAAGCTAATAAATAATGACATGCTTCTATTATTCACACACTTTTCTATAATAATATACGTTAGAAAACTTGACCAACAAAATGATATGTTTCATAATATATTTATTTTTATAATCTAAAATTCACTTTAGTTTACTATTAAGAGTAGGAAGGAAAAATGATCTTTATATAAATTTTATTTTAAGTGAGGAGGTCGACTATGTTTAAATTTACTATTTGGTTGCAGTTGAATATATACATATAACTAAAACAATGTATTTGTGAGTCTATACTATTATTAGGATTACTGAGGACATTGCCCTTGTCAGGAAATTGTGGAGGTCGAACATTAAAGTTGTAGGTTAGGGGGAAATTGTGAATATTTATACGGTGCACCGAAGTGAGACTAGCCAGTTAGGATTTAATTCTAGGATGCTAGTGGTTATCTACTGATGTAGAGCTTTATCTGCTAGTTATTATTGTATTTTTCATTTATTTCATATTTCTTATATTGGATTTATTTTATTATGGTTATATTGATGATACTAATATATGGTCTCTTGTTACCTTTTTGAGCCGAGGGTCTCATGGAAACAGCCTTTCTGCCTCTCGGGGAGGGGTAGGGATAAAGTCTGCGTACATATTAGCCTCTCAACCGTGGTTGTTGTTGTTGTTGTATAAAATCTACAAACTCCCTAATGTAACACCCCTATAAACAAATTTCGGAAGTGTTATGCCCCAATTTTTTCTCTTTCGAAATTTCAATTTCCCTTCTTCATAATATTCCCAAACCAAATTCCGATTTAAAAGTCACCACCCTTCACGGCCATCCCCGCCCCAGCACTGGCCACCGTCGTCTGACTGAGAAATGAGAATTCTACAACTCAGGTGGAAGAATCCGGCGAAGATATCATCAAAAACTCCACTTTCATTCGGCCCTTTCAATTCCACAACCCAAACCCGGTGGAAGAAACCAGCAAACACAGCCCAAACCCGACTGGAAAACCGGACCCGAGACCCGAATCTCGATAAACTCACAGCTCAATACCGGAGACTTAAACTCATCCTCAACCTCTACGACGTCGTATCTGCTAAAAAACGCGGTCGTTATGTCTCAGTTCAGTCACTTTCCAAGTGGGCCCCACATGCCGGCATTAACACCATCACCGCCGGTGATCTTCTCCGGAAATACCCCCATATTTTTGAGGTGTTTACACATCATATTAAGCGTAATTTATGCTGCAGGTTTAGGGAGAAATTTGTCATTTTGCTTAAGCAAGAAGAAGATTTCATATCACAAAATGAACATGAAAATGTGATGAGAATAAAGAAGATTTTAATGATGTCTGTTAATGGTACTATACATTTGCATGCACTTAGACTAATGAGGACTGAATTGGGTTTGCCTGAAAACTTCAGGGACTCAGTTGTAATAAAGTATGATGAAGTTTTTAGGATGGTGGATTTGGAAATTGTTGAATTAATTAATAGAAATGGAGCAGATGAGAGTTTTGGGGTGGCAAAGGTTGAATCTTGGAGGCAAAAGGAGTATACTGAGAAATGGTTGAGTGAATTTGAGGTCAAATATGCATTTCCTATTCATTTCCCAACCGGGTTTAAGATAGAACCAGGTTATAGAGAAAAATTGAAAAATTGGCAAAGGCTTCCTTATGTTAAGCCTTACGAAAGAGAACTCACGTATCACTTGAATGGACTAAAATCTGAACCCTTGGGACAATCTTTAGGATGTGATGAGTTGATATCGAGGTCAAAGGGAGTTGGAAAGCATAGTTTTGGAGGGGTTGAGCGGTATGAGAAGCGAGTTGTGGCGATTATTCATGAAATTTTGAGCTTGACTGTTGAGAAGTTGGTGCCCCTCGAAAGGTTGGCACATTATAAGAAGGACCTCGGCATTGAAGTTAATATTCGTGAGTTGTTGTTGAAGCATCCTGGGATATTTTACATATCCACTAAAGGGAATACTGAAATTGTTTTCCTTAGAGAAGCATATAATAAAGGGTGTTTGATTGAGTTGAACCCAATTTATGATTTGAGAAGAAAGGTATTGGAGCTTCTCTTGTTGGGGAACCGTCATACGGGAGAGTTGAGAACGGAAAGGGAACTGACGGATGATATTAGAGACGTGACAGATGATGAAAATGGATGGGAAAGCAGAGAGGGTGACTTTGTTATTCCAATTCTCGAGAGTTTTTCTGATCATGACAGCGATGACAATTTGAACTAGAATGGTTACTTATCTGAGGCAGAGCTGATTGGGCTTTCTGAGATGGAAATCAGTAATAATGATCTCGGTGAGTCTTCTAATCTGGATTTTTCTGCAAACTGACAATTAATGAAAGGGCAGTTGAGTTATAAAAAAATGGATACACGGTCATATTTGTGCTTCCTGCTGTCATTGTTCAGAAAGTTTATTCCGTTGTACAGAGCCTCAGTATGACTTGCCCGGAACCTTTGTTGTTTCTGTTGGTGTGCTTTGTGCTCAAAACATTATTCTTCCATCTCTAGCATTATGACTCAGTTTCCTCACTCTGTTCAATCTGATAATTGCATATTGCAGTTCCGTATCTACCAGATTTAGTTATTTGAATTTTCTCCTTCCAATTCAGACTATTCGATTATGAAAAAGGAAAGATAGGATAGTCCTTGTGGTAAGGCACTTAGTTCTGTAGAGCTGTCTTAGGAATATGTTTGTTTTGGTAGCTTGATTATTGATTGCCAACTAGAGAACTGAACCAAAGTCAATTTAATAAATTTCCAGCTGCTCAGTGTTTACTAGATTGTAACTACTTTTTTGATGCTCGTGACTTGTATAATTAAGGGATAATTGAAGATCATATTCAAAAGGTAAGTGTGGAGAAACAGTGTCGCAGCATAGAAAGGTGTCAGGTTTGATATATTTGCAGTAATGCATGTTTCTTTCCCTTGTTCCAGTGGAGGACATTGAAATTTGTCATTACTAGTGTATTATTGTCTGTAGAATTGAATCTGTCCTACAAAAGACTACTCTAGTACTCAAATGAACCTTTGTGCCTGTTGATTTCTGAACCAGAAAGGAAAGGTTGAAGTTTTGGCCCTGCTAAGGCTCGTTGACATATGGCATTTTCAGTGAAGCATGAGTGGTCCATGGTGAGGAATGGACCGGCGATATGTTGGATGACTATGTAATTCTTCAAAGTAGCAACTAACTTAGAACATGGAGCTACATAAAGTGAGGATATTTTTGATGAAGTAATCTTACTTAGTGGGAGACAGATATTTAACATCAAATACAGATGGAGCGACACATATTCTTATGTGTAGTAGTGCTGCTACCAGTTTCTTATTCTTGTCTTAATTCATTATTTATATGTGGTGAAGAAAGGGGGG